TCAGCCACCACAAAAGTCCTGGAGGAGAGCTCTGCCCTTCTGGAGTGATGCTCACAGCCCCGCAGGACGCCCTGTCCAGCAGAACCAGGGCTCTTAAGGTGATGTCTGCTGAGGGAAGCAGCGTCTCCTTGCCCTAGCACTACCAGCAGTGTCTCAAGCCAGGAACATTAAGAGAGAATCACAGAATCACAGAATCGCAAGGGTTGGAAGGGACCTCGGGAGATCATCTAGTCCAACCGCCCTCCTAAATCAGGCTCTCCTAGACCATGTTACACAGGACTTCATCCAGGCGGGCTTTGAATATCTCCAGAGAAGGAGACTCCACAACCTCCCTGGGCAGCCTGTTCCAGTGCTCTGTCACCCTTAGAGTAAAGAAGTTTTTCCTCATATTCAACTGAAACCTCTTATGTTTCAGTTTGCACCCATTGCCCCTAGTCCTGTCGCTGGACACCACTGCAAACAGACTGCTTCCATCCTCGTGACTTCCGCCCTTAAGATATTTGTATGTGTTGATAAGGTCCCCTCTCAGTCTTCTCTTCTTCAGGCTGAACAAGCCCAACTCTCTCAGCCTTTCCTCGTAGGGGAGATGCTCCAGTCCCTTTATCATTCTGGTAGCTCTCCTCTGGACTCTTTCTAGGAGTTCTTCGTCTTTCTTGAACTGGGGAGCCCAGAACTGGACACAGTACTCCAGGTGGGGTCTCACCAGGGCAGAGTAGAGGGGGAGGAGAACCTCCCTCGACCTGCTGGCCACACTCCTCTTAATACACCCCAGGATACCATTGGCCTTCTTGGCAACAAGGGCACATTGCTGGCTCATGGTCAGCTTGTCGTCTACCAGGAGTCCCGGGTCCCTCTCAGCAGAGCTGCTATCTAGCAGGTCAGCCCCCAGCCTGTACTGGTGCATGGGGTTTGACCTCCCCAGGTGCAGCACGCGACACTTGCCCTTGTTAGGGCTTAGGCCCCTTACTGCCATGGAAACAGCTCCAGGGAAGCACCCTCCAGGTCCGCATCCAAGCAGGCACTCAGCACCCCCAGCCCTTGATCAGAGCTTCAGGAGAGCCTTCCCAGAACTGCAGTTGCATTGCCCTGCACCGAGTCTTACCGTGTCAGGGGCTGTCCAGATGTCTTCCCTTTCAGCTCTCCCCTCTCCTCCCACTCCAGGCTGCCTTGAATCTCTCCCTGCCCTACTCCTTTTCCCAGAGCCCTGCTGCACTTTGCAGAGGAGCTCTTCCCTGGCAGAGCTGTCTCTCGGCAGTGCCGCCTGCTCGACCAGAGTTCTCCCCCACCGAGGCTGTCTCAGCCCAGCAGCAGAGGACCAGCCCAAGGCATCACTGCTTCTGCCCCCACCCCACTCTGCGCTGCCTCCAGGTGTCCCTGGGGCTCTCCAGGAACCTGCTTGGAAAGAGACTGAAGCAATCACCCATGTTGCCTGCCTCACCTCTGCAGAGACGTTTCTTTCCAGTAGTGTCCTTTCTCCTCTCAGAGATACAGGTCTGAGTATCCTCCTTCCTTCTCCCCATCCTTAGGCAGGAGACCTGGGCACTGATGGGGAGGGATGTCCTTTAGCAATGCTGAGGGAAAGGAATCAGCTGAGTCAATGGAGGCATCTCATCCTGCATTTGTAGTCCTGGGGCTGGACCTCAGCTCCCTCTCATGCCTGCCACAAACCCACAGGAGGTGGTGAGGTTCCTCTTGCTGCTTCAGTCATGGTATCTGTTAAAAATAGGCACCTGCACTACTTCTCTATGATCTCATGGTCGCTGATAGAGATGGAGACCAGGAGTTCCCATAAACACCTGGTGACATCTGAGGTGCCAGATATTGTCCATGATAATGGAGCAGAACTGAGAGACTGGGAAACATCTGGGGGCATCATCCTGCAGCCTGGTGAGGATGCCAGCTGACATGACAGTAGATGCCCACAGTTAGGACATCACAACCTCTCCCTACTCATGCTGCTCAGGGCTGCCTACTGAGGTGTTCAGCTGACCCAGTGGACTGATCTGCCAGAGAGAGAGGGAGGCCTTTCTCTCTCTCCTCTCCTTTACCTGTATTCACTGGCTGTCCATTGTCTGTAACAGTCGCTGTCTCGCACAGCCCCACACAGCCTGACCTGCTTCACGGCAGCTGCTCATTTGATGGCCATATCCAGGCCTGTAGTGCTGTGTGAGACACCAGGGCTCCCCACCAAAATTGCATGGGTCTGGCAGGGACAGCACAGGACCTACAGAAGAGCCATGTCCCCTCACAGTGGGTATGTGACAGACACCCATGGTGGCATCATCTCAGATTAATTGTGTGCTTGTGTTAACATGGCTGATTCCTACTCCCACAGGGAGGCCAGCTGTGCCCCATCTCTATCCAGTAGATGCAAGGCACTGCGTGAATAAGCAGCCCATTGCACTGGGGTCTCCACTTGTGGGCCTCTGTTCTCAGCTTCTTCAGGTTCTCCTCTCCCCCATCCTTTACTCGCCCTCTTGACGTTTCAGAGTCTTCAAAGAGTGCAATGAATTTAGAATGTGCCTGGATCACAGGATGTCCACACCCAAGGGCACATTCAGCAGCACCTTGTCCTTCCAGGAGATCAAGTGCCTCTCTCCACCAAAGGCCCTCCAGGGCTGCAGAGACACCGCAGACAGCCATGCCCTCTCCTGCCAGGGCTGCACAGCCCAGCCCTCTTTCTCTCTCACCTTGGGCACAGCAGGGATTGCTCTCTTTTGGGGCACCTCATGTCTGTCTTACCATACCCTCTGCCACCCCCTCCAGCATGTCTTCCATGAAGCAAAGCTTTTGCCTATACGGGCTCTTGGGTGCTTGGTATCACCATGACAAGTCTGAGCTTGGCCCTGGAGCCACAGCTCAGGGGCTGCAGCCCAGATTTGCAATACTGTCCTTGGACTGGGAAGAGGCATGAGGAGATGGACCTCTGTGGTCTGTCGCAAGCTGTGACGTTGATGGAATAACTTGGGAGGCACAGTGGGACACCTCACACAGCTTGTGTGCTGCAACAGCTGGATAAAGGTTCTTCACAAGACACAGACTCGAGCATCAGAAGATGAATGCTTCCTGTGTGAAGGAGCTGCTTGGGTATATGGAGCTCCTTGCTGGGAGGGCAAACAGGTTGGGTGAGGCCTTGTGGTTGAGGATCAGAGGAGAGGCCAGTTAGGGAAACAACATGGTGGGAGATAAAGAACCTGCAATCAAGGGGAGGAGGTGGACAAGCCCTTACTTAAGCAACTCAAGGAAGTCTTCTGATCAGTAAGTGGGGGCTCTTTCTTGGGACATTAATTATCCTGACATTCCTTGGAGGGGGAACACAGCACCCTGAAAATAGACCAATAGGTTTCTGGAGGATGCTGGAGCAATTTCTGAGGAAAGCCAGCAGCTGGAAAAACAGAGATGATGCATGCCTGGATCAGGCCATTGCAAAGCATGAAGAGCTGGTCAGGATATGTATCCTGGGCTGTAGTGACCATGAAATAAGAGGGATAATAAATACAGGTTAAGTGGGGCCACTTCTGAATTCTGTGAGAGGAGATGGAGAGATGTCTGACCTACTCTGTGTCCTCTCTGTCTCAGTCATAAAATCATAGAATCATAGAATCGTTTAGGTTGGAAAGGACCTTTAAGATCCAACTGATAACCCAGCACTGCCATCCCACCACTAAACCATGTCCCTAAGCAGCACATCTACACATATTTTAAATACCTCCAGGGATGGGGACTTGGCCACCTCCCTGGGCAGCCCCTTCCAGTGCTTGACAACCCTTTCTGTAAAGAAATTTTTCCTGATGTCCAACCTAAACCTGCCCTGGCACAACTTCAGACCATTCCCCCTCATCCTATCGTCCGTTACCAGGGAGAAGAGGCTGACCCACACCTCGCTACACCTTCCTTTCAGGTAGTTGTAGAGGGTGATAAGGTCTCCCCTCAGCCTCCTCTTCTCCAGGCTGAACACCCCCAGCTCCCTCAGCTGCTCCTCGTAAGATTTGTGCTCCAGACCCCTCATCAGCTTGGTTGCTCTCCTCTGGACATGTTCCAGCAACGCAACATCTTTCTTGTAGTGAGGGGCCCAAAACTGAACCCAGCATTCAAGGTGCGGCCTCACCAGCACCGAGTACAGGAGCACAATCATTTCTCTACTCCTGCTGGCCACACTATTCCTGATACAAGCCAGGATGCCATTGGCCTTCTTGGCCACCTGGGCACACTGCTGGCTCATATTCAGCTGGCTGTCAACCAGT